TGTACTATAAAATCTTTCTCAGTTTTGATGGAATGAAAACAGCTCCCTTGGTAGCATAGACATGTCATGTATGTCCATACAGGTCATCTTCAATTTACAACCATTTGTTTAGTAACTCATTGAACTTACAACAGCAGTGGAAAAAGTGACTTACAACTGATTCTTGCAAGTATGACTATCACTGCATTCCCACACTCATATATTTAAAATTCAGATGATTGTTAAATGGCATGGATTTGCAATGATTGCAGTGTCCCAAGGTCATATCTTCACCATTTGTGACCATCCAAGCTGGTTTCTGACAAGCAAAGTGAATGCAGGAATCTGGATTCATTTAACGACTGCATGATTCATTTAGCAAGTGCTGTGATTTGTTTAACAACCATGGCAAAAAAGGTTGTAAATTCAGGTATGATTCACTCTCACCAATGCTGAGAGAAGGAAATTTTGGTCCCAATGGTAGTCACAAGTGAAGGACTACCTATATGTGGATATTCACTTTTTCCACCTTATTTAGAACTAATACTTCCCTTTTTTGCTAGGCTTTAATACTGTATTTTCCCTACATGTGTGATTTAGTTATATGGGTGATCTTCTTCGACAAAATATATTCATAAAACATTAATAGCAGTTGTTGTTTTATCTTTCATGCATCTAAAACTCAGCAGCATTCAAAGTACCACTACTGGTAGTAATATCTTCAGGTAGTCCTCAACTTACGAGCACAATTGAGCCCAAAATTTCCATTGCTAAGTGAGACATTTGTTAAGTGAGCTTTGCCTCATTTTACGATGTTTCTTGCCACAGTTGTTAAATGAATCGCTGCAGTTGTTAAGTTGGTAACACGGTCGTTAAGTTAATCTGGCTTCCCCATTGACTTTGCTTTTCAAATGGTGATCGCATAACCCTGGGATATTGCAACTGTCATAAAAAGACACCAGTTGCCAAGCATCCAAATTTTGATCCCACAACCAAGGAGAGGCTGCAACATTCATAAGTGTGAAAAATGGTCATAAGTCACTTTTTTCAGTGCCATTCTAACTTTGAACTAAACGAATGGTTGTAAGTCACTAAAGACTTAACTATAACTTTTCTTGTTTTCTTTTCCAAAGGAAAAGACTGGGGAAGAAGTGATTGCAAAAGGAAAGAGAAAAGACAGAAACTCTATTTAGACAATGCAAAAGATTAAATTCACCAGATAAACAGGCCCTCCCAAGCATCAGCTAAACTCGCAGGGCTGTTAGAAGGTGCCATAAAGTTAAATTAGCCATTCAGATTGCACTGTAGGATGCCTTGAGCCCAGGACAAATGATAGCCATTGATGCTAAAATCCCTGGTTTGGGGATTAGTTACAGAAGGAGAAAGGATTAATTTAGACAGATATATCGATATACCTGATTGTGAGAAAGCAAATCTTACAATGATTATAAATAATCATTTGCAAGGTAGTCAATGTGAAGGATGTGTGTTTGTGTTTATTTTCAGTCATAATGTACACTGAAGATGGTATTTAATTTCGTTGTACAAGGTGCAATTACAATAAAGTAAACTAACTAACTAACAACTAACTAACCAGTCGCCCTGAAAAGACAGGAATATCTCAAAAACATGTTGAAAAATATAGGGAATCAACTGGGAGCCACAGGGATATATTCATGTAGCAAATAAGGAATATTAAATAATCTTGGTGAGTGTATTTTTTTGAGAAGGAGTAAATATTTGATGTTTATTTCACTCTGCCCAAAACATGAAAATTGTGGTCTCTGTGGTAAATTTAAAAGTTGGAATTTTAAAACAAGGAAGTTGGCTGGTTGGCTAGCTGGGGAAATTCTGAGAGTTGAAGTCCATAGATGTTTAACATTGCCAAGATTGGGCACCTGGGATCTAACAAATTCCTGAAAGCTTAGCTTTCAGTCAAATTATCCATCAATAGATATACAGATAAATCAGTGTGAGGTAGTGTGCGGTGTGCAGTATTTATATGTAGTATTTGTGCAGTATTTATATTAAGAATAGGATAGGATAGGATAGGATAGGATAGGATAGGATAGGATAGGATAGGATAGGATAGGATAGGTACGAAGGGAGATCTTCCATCTAGTCCAACCTGCTGCTCATACACCATTTCAGACAAGTGGCTGTCCAGTCTCTTAAAAATCTCAAGTTATTAAGCATCCACAACTTCTGAGGGCAACCCCTTCCACTGATCAATTGTTCTCACTGTTAGGATGTTTCTCCTTAATTCCAGATTGCTTCTCAACTTGATTAGTTTCCATCCATGGTTTCTTGTCTTGCCTTCTGATGCTTTGGAGAATAATTAACCCCCCTCTTCTTTGTGGCAGCCTCTCAAATACTGGAATACTGCTATCATGTCCCCCCTAGTCCTTCTTTTCTCTAGACGGGCCAAACCCAAATCCTGCAATCGTTCTTCATACGTTTTAACCCACAGGCTTTTAATCATCTTAGTTGCTCTTCTTTGCACTTTTTCCTAAGCCTCAACATCTTTTTTGTAATGTGGTGACCAAAACTGGATGCGGTATTCAAGGTGTGGTTTTACTAAGGTTTATTATAAAAGTGGTACTAATACTTCCCGTGATTTTGATTCTATGCCTCTGTTTATACAACCAAGGATTGCATTAACTTTTTTGGCTGCTGCCACACAATGCTGGCTCATGTTTAAGTGATCATTCACTGGAACTCCAAGGTCCCTCTCACAGTTACTGTTTTTGAGCTAGGTTTCGCCTAAGCAGTAAACCCGCCACCAAACCAAACCAAATCAAACTAGCAGAGCAGATTATTAGACAGTAGCTTGCCCTGTCAGTTTGGTGGGGCTAAGGTTTCCCCTTTCATGATTCCTTAATTAGTATTGTTTTCTGCCTGTTTGTTTGTCTGGTGTTAGTCTGATTTAAAGAGAGTCAGTAGAGCTCTCATTCTAAAAGAAAAATGATGTTGTAACTCCAGTGGTGTTCTTACCATTCTACACTGTTGCCTTCTCTCTTTGTGCCTGGGTGCATTGACTGCTATCTATTGAACTGAATATGAATATGCTGAATAGTCAAACCTTGTTGATGATCCAAGCTCTGTAAAGGACCTTGGAGTAATCATTCCTAATGATCTAAGTCAGGGGTCCCCAACCGCCGGTCCGCGGACCGGTACCGGGCCGCGGAACAAGCCTTACCGGGCCGCTGGTTGCTGGGCGCCGCCATCTTTTTTTGGTAAAAAAAGCAATTTTTCGTCAAAAAAGATGGCGGCGCCAGCGCTTCCGGTGAGCTTTTCCGGGTAGAAAGCCATTTCTACCTGAAAAAGCTCACCGAAAGCGCTGGCGCCGCCATTTTTTTTGACGAAAAAAATCGCTTCCAGTGACATCACCGGAAGTGATTTTTCGTAAAAAAAAATGGCGGCGCCCAGCTGACGCCGGAACCGGGCCGCGGCGCCCAGCTGACGCCGGAACCGGGCCGCGGCGTCGAAAAGGTTGGGGATCCCTGATCTAAGTGCTACAGCCCACTGTAACTACACAGCCAAAAAGGCATTAAGAGTTGTTAACCTAATCCTACGTAGCTTTTTCTCTGGTAATATCACACTACTAACTAGAGCATACAAAACATTTGCTAGACCAATACTCGAATACAGCTCATCAGTCTGGAACCCACATTACATATCTGATAAGAAATATTTCACAAGAAGAGTTCTCCACTCCTCTACTCGTTGTAGAATACCTTATGCCACCAGACTTGAAATTCTAGACCTAGAAAACCTTGAATTACGCTGTCTTCGGTCTGATCTAAGTATAGTACATAAAATTATCTATTGCAATGTCCTACCTATCAATGAATACTTCAGCTTCAACCATAACAACACAAGAGCACACAATTGATACAAACTCAAGGTTAACCGCACCAAACTTGATTGCAGGAAATACGACTTCAGCAACACAGTGGTCAATGTCTGGAATACTCTACCTGACTCTGTGGTTTCTTCCCCAAACCCCAAAAACTTTAACCTTAGACTGTCTACTATTGACCTCACCCCTTTCCTAAGAGGTCTGTAGGGGGCGTGCATAAGTGTACCAATGTGCCTACCGTCCCTGTCCTATTGTTTCTTTTTATTTTTCTTATATGTACCCATTTCATGTATTCATAACTATGTATACTTATACCTATTATCTTGTAAGCGATTGACAAATCAAAATAAATAAAATAAAAATAAAACTTGGACCTTAGAGATGTTGATTTGAGCAGGATATGAATACCATTTGGGGGATTGAATCCCAAATGCTGGACCCTGCCATCTAAGAATCGGTTCTGCAGTGGGAAAACCAGATTCATTAAACAACCATTTTACTAACTTAACTATTGCCGTGATTCACTTGACAGCGGAGCAAGGTAGGCCGTAAAATGGGGCAAAACTCATTTTAAACAACTTTCTTGCTTAGCAACAGAAATTTTGGGCTCAATTGTAAGTCGAGACCTATCTCCAGCAACCTGTGAGTTCTCATCCTGCTTTAGACATAAAACACAGCTGGGTGACTTTGGTCTAATCATCAGTAGACTGTGAGTTCTAGTCCCGTCTTAGGCATGAAGCTGGCTGGATGATTTTGAGTCAATCACCAGGAGACGGTGAATTTTAGTCCCATTTTAGGCATGAAAGTCAGCTGGTTGGTTTTCAGCCAATCACCAGGAGATGTGAGTTCTAGTCCTGTCTTAGGCATGAAAGCCAGCTGGTTGATTTTCAACCAGGAGACGGTGAGTTCTAGTTTCCTCCTTAGGCATGAAAGCTGGCTAGGTGACTTGGGGCTGGTCCCCCTCTCTCAGCCCAATTCAACTCACAGGGTTGTTGTGGGGCACATACGAGGTGGGAGTATTATGTGTGTTCGCTGCCTTGAGTTACTTATAAATGTAATAAAAGTGGGATATAAATAAATAACAAACGGACTTCTACATTTTTTCCTAATTTAGCTTCAAAATTGCTATGATTTCTTCTATGTCATTGCATTCTCGCAGGGATCCGCTACAGCCACCCAGGGGGCAATGAAGTCACTTCTTCAACTTCCATCAGCCATCATGGTAACAACTCAATGGTGACCACCAGCCAGTCCATTCTCCAGCCAGTATCTCCAGCCAGTTTGGACCCAGGTCACAGCCACAGCCTGCTGTCCCCGGACGGTAAAATGGTGAGCACACCTGGGCTATTGTACCTCAGGTGCTGATAAGATAAGTTAGCTTAGGAGGCAAAAAACAAACAGAACTTTCTTTTTTTCCTACATGTTAAAACTCTCCTTTCCCTCCCCCCTCCCCCCCCAAGACCTGCATTAAACAATGAAAGGCTTGTAGGCATGAGGAGGGTAAAGGCCTGAGTGCTTTCAGGGAAAATAGCCTTCTGACCTTCTCATTCCCTGCTTAGGCATTGAACCATGCCAATAAAAACTGCTCTCAGGGTATTGATCGAATGCCTCTCAAATTGGCACAATGGGGTGGATCACTGTTTACTCTTCACTGCTGATGACATTCCACATGATTAAAAAAAAAAAAACAGGCCACCAAATCTTGATTAAGTCATCCCAGATGTCACTTAACTCTTCAAATGTTATAATTTTATTTAGCAAGCTTCAACAATCCCTTTACTTCTACAAATATGGACGTCAAATGGAGTGAGGATACAGTGATAAAAATGCTTTTATCACGATAGTGCCATTCATAACTTATCCTTTGCTGCAATATTGGGGTGGATTCTTCAGTTCAAGCTGTATAATATTCTACTATAATAGAAAATTTGGTTTCAAAGGCTTTGTTGGCTATGAGACATCCTAGCCTGGTACCTAATTTACAGGGACAAATTTATTAGGGTTGTCCTGAAGAACTGCATAAACAGGAAGTAAAACAAGAAAAAATTATCTTTGTCTTTTTAGTTACTACTGGTATTTAGTTATTGGCAGATGAAAAATATAAATTGTTTTCTTCTGTGGGGTCCTTGGTGCTGTCTAAGCTTGGTGGTTTTCTTGTAGACATTTCATTACTAAACTAGGTAATATCATCAGCACTGATGATGTTACCTAATTTGGTCATGAAATGTCTGCAAGAAAACAACCAAGCTCAGAGAGCACAAAGGACCCACACCTCTGTGATATATAGGAAAACCAATGAAACTATTCTCAAGTAGTAGCTGATAAGCCTTCTTTACAGCACCTTCAACTCAGGGGTGGGATTCTACCAGTTCGCACCTATTCGCTAGAACCAGTTGTTAACATTCTAAGCAGTTCGGAAAGCCAGTTGTTAGAAGAAATTACTGGCCTAATCCTGTAAGGAAGGCAGGAAGGAAACATTCTGGTGTTGCTTACAGAAACTGCCTCTCCATTAACCATTATTACATTCTTGGCAGGACTAGACTTCCTGTCTCAGGAACTTCTCTGGAGTTTTTCCCCCCTCCTTTGCTGGTACTTTGCTTGTGTGGAGTGACCATTCAAAGTTACAATGGCACTGAAAAAAGTGACTTATGACCCATTTTTCACACTTACAACTGTTGCAGCATCCCCAACAGTCATGAGAGGCCAGGCGAGGAGATGTGTGCCTCGATGTGAGTGATATTGAGTTGGCCACACCCAGCCAATAATATGACCACCAAGCCACGCCCACCCAGTCACATGACCACCAAGCCATGCCCATCACCTAAGCCACGCCCACAGAACCAGTTGTTAAAAAATTTGAATCCCACCCCTGCTTCAACTCCAAAGGATGGTTTTGTATTTTAGCTGAGGGAAGAACTGTGGGGTTCTTGGGGTTCTCTGAACTTGGTTATTTTCTTGCAGACATTTCATTACCAAACACGTTAATGTCATCAGTGCTAGTAAGGGAGTACTGACATTGATGACGTTACCTAGTTTGATAATCAAATGTCTGCAAGAAAACCACCAAGCTCAGAGAACACCAATGACCCTACAGTTCAACCCTGAGCCACAAATATTCTTTTCTATTGATTGCTTACTTCTTTTCCCATTTTTTGGGGTAAACTTTCTCCCTTTTTCTCAACTCTTATTTTCAGAAGAAGAGGGTATATATTTTGATTTCTGTGATTTGATAAAGTTAAAGGGTTAAAAAGAAATAAAAACCAAGCACAAAAGCATCTCAGAACTTACTCCTCAATTTCTCCCTCTTCATGTTCCCAGTGTGAACAGGTGTTTCTCCTTTTTCCTGCTTGTATTTGAAATGCAAGAATCTTTCCTAAACTATCTGTCCTGATTTAATTGGAGGAAAATTGCACATGCATTTTTTATTTATGATCCCAAGCCTCCTACAAACGTGCACATTGCTTAAATTTACACCGTCATCCCGTGCACACTCATCTCAGAAGTAAAATTAATTGGACTTTCCGTTTCTTCTAAGCAAAATAGGGTTTGGGTAGTACTATCAGGAGAGCAAAACACAAGTTATCATTTAAAATGTATTCCTAATACAATAGCAATTAAAAATGTAAATAATGAATTTGCACTGGAATTTGGCCTATGAATTATTCCAGGGTTTAATTCCTAGCATGTCTTGGGGGCCATTATTCCAGAGAATGCCATAATGAACGTGAAGTCTTTTATCACAGGGTTTAAATTCTTTCCCAGTCAGGTGATTTTCTTCTCCCTTGCTGCATTAATTCCTTTGTTTCTGTCCTAATTGTTTTTTCCGAGCTGGAACCTAATGGTGGCTTTTTACAAATATATATATATATAAATAAATAATTTATTATGCATGCATGCCTGGTTTAGTTAAGCTGAGGAATGTCTCCTTCCTTGAGGGAAGATTAGAAGTAAAAATGTCTTAGGCTGAGGAACATTTTTATTATCTTTATATTTTATGGGCAGTTTTCAGTGTGAAATATGAATGCCTGACCCCAGGTCAGGAGCTTGGATCCTAGGAAGTGAAGACAGCTGTATCACAGTGGATGTAATGAAACAACCAGCTCCCTTTGTAAATTGTGGAGATCACATTGTCAATCCTCTGGTTATTCAACTACTAGCTCGAGTTTTTTGGGAGGAAAATAAGGGGGGGAAATTCTGCCGCTGCCTACCAGCATCCATTGGTATTCATCTGGCTGTTTGGAAACTGAAACAGTATTTGCTGTATGAGCAAGAAGGAGACAGCAAGGAGCCTGGGCATGGCTTAGCTCAACTGTTCTGTACTAAAGCTGCTTGGTGCTGTGAAACTAAAACTGAAACTGAAACTCCACTCCTCTGCTTGTGTTTTGCATTTGGAACAGATTTCTTTTCAGGTAGGGAGGGGGAGTAGGACTCTTTAGCATTAGCGCGTGTTAATAATAATAATAATACAGGAAATACTAATGCTCTGATGGTCATTTCTCAAAATCCTTTCTTAGTGAGCACCTAGAAGCCAAGAGGAACATATGTGCCAAATTTCAAGTTTGTAAGCTTTATGGTTGTAGAGATTTTGTGATGATGTGTGAGTGGGATTTCGTTTTTATATACTGTATATAGATTCTCCTCAGTAATGCTTAGAAGCTTCTCTGAGGCTGATATGAATGTAGGGTTATCAGTATAAGATGCCCACGACTTACAACCATTTGTTTAATCTCCTTTTAAAGTTACAACCTCGCTGAAAAAAAGTGACGTATGACCATTTTTCACACTTATGACCATTGCGGCATCCCCAATGTCACGTGATCAAAATTCGAGTGCTTGGCAACTGGTTCATATTTATGACTGTTGCCATGCCCCCGGGGTCATCCAATCATCTTTTTTCAACCTTCTGACAAGCCAAGTCAATGGGAAAAACCAGATTCACTTAACAGCCGGATAACTAATTTAACAACTGCGGGGATTCACTTAACAAATGTGGCAAGACAAGTCGTAAAATGGGGCAAAACTCACTTAACACACTTCTCACTTTAGCAACATACATTCTGGGCTCAACTGTGGTCGTAAGTTGAGAACTACCTGTTCAGTGTTTCTCAAAGACCTATGGACTTCAACACAGCTGGCTGGAGAATTCTGGGAGTTGAAGTCCACAGGTCTTCAAGTCGTGAAGGTTGAGAAGCACAGAATTAGAGGACAGGAAGAGACTTCTATTGACATAAAGACCACTCATATAGCGTTACCAAATACGAGGCACCAAGCCACATCAGCCTCTCTAGAAAAACAGTTTCCCCACCACTGTTGATCTTCCCATTCGCAAGCTGGCAAGTTGAATGGAGACCCATCCTTGACTGATGCCTTCTGCATGAGCAAAATATGTACTTTCAAAATAGGAAGATGCCACGGTGCCAGACTGCTAGAATCAACAATGAAAACAGTCAGTGCTCTGTCTGATGCCTAAAAGCCTTCCCTGTGAACACACTTGGCAAAATACATTCGATTTCAAACCTCTATCACTTCGTCTGAAATATCTCTCTCTCTCTCTCTCTCTCTCTCTCTCTCTCTCTCTCTCTCTCTCT